ATCCCGACACTCCTTACTAGCACGGGCATACGGTGTGGCGCCTACTTCAAAATGATGCGGCACCTCGGTAGTGTGGCGTCATGTCAGTCGTCTTGTACAAACGTACCACAATTTTAGCCACATGCAATTTCATGCACATGAAATGCACGAGGAAGTAGTTTGCGGCAGCGGGCAGTGCTGGCGGAAGGGGCGCCGGGCTGAACAATGGCAAACCTGGGGAGCGGAAGGGAAGGGGTGCCGTGTCATGGGTGGCCACTTGTGAACCTTTTACCACTCAGGGCCAACTTGTGAACCCCGTAGACATGCTGGTTGTGGAAACGTGTCGGCGGAAACAGCGAATGACGCAATTCCGTCAGCCAGCCCAGAAAGTAATATAAGCGGACCCCGGACCTTAACTACTTCTGATTCTTGGGCACGTCGGTAGGAAGTCGTGTAGGTTGTGCGCGGCGCGGCATTTCAATGCATAGGCTACTGAGGCAGGGAACTGAAGCCGGCGTGCTACGTCGAGACGGGAGGTGCGGCATACTTGCTTTATGCTCACGTAGGCTACTGGTGTATCACACCGAATAAGATGTCAATTTATCAGGTCAGCGGTTGTGGTGACCAGGAACATTCCTTCTGGTAACAGGTCAATATTGTTTATTGTAAATAGTATTCAGGTGTTGGAGCATATTTCAAATAAATACTCAATAAATTGCAAACCGTTCACGTCTGTGAATTATTGACCCGGCAAAGACGCCACAGTAGGACGTCACCGTATATTGGAAGTACTGCCAGATATAGCATATGATTGGGGACATATTCTACCCCTGACAGTCCTTCCATCTACCTTAACAAAATAATATTTGGATCACACAAGGAATTAGTACATCGTGTAAAAACAAACGTACGCTTTATTTTAATTCCAAACATCGTATCACCCGGCTTCCATATCTACTTCCGAGCATACAAACAACTTTAAGGAAAGTAATAGTTCAAGAAGAAATAATTAAAAATATCAGGATATTTTGAACGCTAGTAACTAAACTAAAGCAATGTGGAATATCGTAAAAAATACGACCACATCATCTCGTTACATAGTAGAGAATGTGGTTTTGAAGGATAATGAAAGAGGAGCAAGTACTCCGGAAAAAGTGGCAAATCTCAACCTACACTTTTCTAGAATTGCGGCTGGACGCACGAAGGGACTAAAACCACAAAATTCAACATCATTCCCTTCTCAAAACATGTTGGACATGATATTTATTTCCGAAACTTGTAACGAAATCCTGAGAATAGTCAGTAAACTAAAAAGTAAATATTCGTGTCGTGTAGATGAATTTCCGGATTGTTTATTGAAAACTTGTTTACCTGCCTTTATACACCCGTTAACTCACATTTTCAATATTTCTTCATGCACAGGGATATTTCCAGATATTTTCAAAACAGCAAAAATTAATCAGCTTTTTAAAAATGAAACAAAAACGAATTTCGCAATTATCGATCAAATTCTCTTTTGTCAGTTTTCTCAAAAATATTAGAGAGGCTTTTCTATACGCAAATGGAAACCTGAGGAAAAACGAAGCGTTTTCGGACTCTCAACACGGTTTTAGAAAATCAAAATTTACGGACCTGTCATTTTCCAGGTCCTACCAGCCATTATTCCAGCATCGGAATTTATTCCGGATGTCGGGCTAGGACCGTAGGAGGACGAATAACACCCATAAATTGCAGAGAGGGTGTGCAACAGAATTATTCGGTTGCCAATGACAATACGCGGTCCAGGAGACGTATGACGACCTAAGACCCGCGCATCAAAAACCTGACGCTTCAATTCCGCGGACGATCTTCTTCAGCTCAGCCACGCGTCGAGTTCATGTCGACTACAGGAGACTTTCATGGTACTTCAACGGGTCATCTGATGGCGCAGGCCGATATTTGGACGTGTAATCCTTTCGGGGCGAAGTAGCAGAATTTCAATCATTCACCGTTTCCTGTAGGTGTTCACACCCATTTTAGTCAATAACCAGAGTGGAGCACTAGAAGAAACAGTAATGTAAAAGACAATTTTCAATAGCAATAAACGTGTCCCTGTCGTTTTGGTCGGGTGATCACACAAAAAACAGTAAGCAAATGCAATCCTACGACCCAGGATGCCCACCCCCAATGATGTCTCAACGCCGGTACCCAGATCACAGGTAAGGCATACGCTTGGCGCCCCGTAAATAAATTCAGCGCATGCATCCTGGTGTCTGGAAACGCCATCGCACCTTAAGTGTGATGACAACCCCCTCTATGATAGTGTGACTCACAGCGGCGCATCACACGAATAATTGCGCCTATGTGGTCCATTTCAATATTTTTTATTTTTTTTATTTTTGTGATTTCAGAGTTTCTTTGTCGATTTAAATGTGGAACTCCTACCAAGTGCCGGAAAAATCTCATTTGTGGCTTCTAATCTCTTAGTTTTAGGTTCCATATTTTGATCAATATATTAACATTGGCTTAGACAGGGGCGGATCCAGAGACGAATGTTGAAAGGGAAAATTCAAAATGTTTGGTCGAAGGTGTCCTATTTCAGATTTTGTAAAATGTCGTAGGCTACACTCGTTCATGCTGTAATACAATTTTACTCGTTTTAACGAAACAAAAATATTTTTGTTTGGAAGTTTCGTGCCAAGATAAAATTAATAGTCACTGAAAAATGTTAAGCAAGGGAAATTTCAGTTTCCCTACCAGTGGATCCGCGCCTGACTTGACAAGTCCGCAATAGTGCCCGCGGTAAGCATATATAGTTAACATTGTCTGCCAACCAATATTATTTTTGACACAGACATATCAGTATGGGATGCCTCAATTGAAAGCGTTTGAAGTACACCCCAGTTAAGTCATTTTAATGATCCATGCCGGTGTCACCCAGTGAATTAGCTCGAAAACAACAATGCCTGAAACTGTCATCGTTTCGTTTCGACAAGACGTCTCGGAAGCCAGTGATTGGTTGATTTAAATTATAATCAATGAGCTAATCATCGCCTTCAGAGCCACTCAATCCTGCCTTGGTATATACGCCGCATATTGTCAGAGGGGCTTATGATGAGACTCGACTTTGTGCCAAAATGGCAGTATGTTTCAAATTAAACCTTAGAAATTTAAAATGAATTATTTTAATTAATTTTATTAAAAATTATATATATATATATATATATAAAATTTCTAATATGAATATTACAAATTTAAAAAATGAAAATTTAATTTAAATGATCAAACTTCAAAATCGTAAATTTCTAAAACGAGGTCTGAGCCACGGTTTCGTTGAGTCACGGCTCGAAATCCGTTTCGCTTTGTATCTAACAGAAAAATTCCTCACAATAGGAACTGTATCAATTATCTTGTTGTATTAACTAAGAAGGAAAGTTCATAATCTTCTAAAAAAGAAATTAATATGTAATAGATATTATCAAAAATCACACTAATTTTAACAATTTTTCAAACATTTCCAGGATGTTATCTGGTTCTATTTCAAGTATTTTTAATTCATTTTTTTATATTCATATTCCCCAGACCAATGAATTCCCATTACTCTCAATCACATACATCACATACAAAAGATAAATTTATTCCAGTCACAAAATAGCAGAACGGCAAGTAGGGACATTGTTTTAATGAATTTACAATATATTTATTTAAAATGTTTATTCATAGAAATACGTTTTCAGCTAATCCTGATATAATTATGTCGGTATTTATTTTTTAGAAAACTAGAGCAACTACAAAACACGCTATTTGGCCACAAAAACCTACCTTGGAGTTGTCCACAATCTCACAGAGGTTTGCGCGGATTCGACGCGGTGAATTCCTCGAATATTTTCGTCCAAGCTTCCCCCCTCACTAATTATTTGATAACAGTACCGCTTCATCCCTAAAACTCGCTATTTCTGACAAATTTCTGCTAGGATCCCTCTTACTGTTTCAAAACGAGCAATCTGTATTTATACTGAACGAAATGTTGGCATGGTTTTGTAATTTTTATAAAAGTATAATTCTTCATACATTACATTATCGTGCAAAATGAGAATGGAAATACAATTCGTACCTACACTATCAAACGTGTACACCCTACTTTGCCGCGAACTAGTCGGTTTCTACTCCAAAAAACACACGACGAACATCGTTCGCACACGCCAAGGCATGTTGCCACACTGATTTTCCTGAGCCTCGGCTTGAGACCGCGGCCTCATCAGAAGAATCATCGTTTTATCAATCTGATTCGCGCCGCGCCTTCAAAGTCACTGTTTCAAAAACGCGGCTCAGACCACATCTTAAGAAAACACCCATCAGGTCATAATTCAAAGCGTTTGTAGTACACCCCAGTTAAGTCATTTTAATAATTATCCATGCCGATGTCACCCAGTGAATAAGCTCGAAACCAATGTCTGAAACTACCACAGTTCCGTACGACAAGACGACTCGGAAGCCAATTGATTTAAATTATTATAATTAATGAGCTAATCATCACTTTCAGAGCCACTCAATCCTGCCTTGGTATATACGCCGCATATTGTCAAGAGGAGGCTTATGATGTGGCTCAACTTTTGCCAAAATGGCAGCATGTTTTAATTTAAATCTTAGAAATTTAAAATTAATTTATTAGAGTTTATATTATATATATATATATATATATATATATATATATATATATATATATATATATATATATACACACACACACATATATAAATAATTAATTCTGATGTATGTTAATGAGCCTAAATAAAATCAATTTAATTGTGTTTATTAACATGGCCAAAGTCATCTTTCCACCTTGGTTTATTAATTGTATAAAATAATCAATTGTTATACTAATTGTGATTAACTTAGTAACTAACAAATAATTGGAATAAATCCACAATTTACTTTAGAACTTATGTGTATTCTTGGTATTGTCTCTGCTGCTGGTTGTAGATATCTTAACATTTTAAATGCAAGTGATGAGTGATAATTTTCAAGTATCTACTGGTAATCAAAATTTAAGGAAGTGTTTTTTCTTAGTCTTCCGTAAGATGTGGATATAGATGCTAGTATGTATATATGTAATTTTCTTTGTCTTTGCACAAACCTCAATAGCTTCAATTTTGTAGTAATTAATCAATGACTGACAGCTCATTAGCTAGTACAAATTTATAATTTCACTTGGTAAACAATATTGGTTACATGTTCAACAGGAGAAAGAACATTATTCCGAATGATGAAGAATTTTAGAGAAGTCATCATTTTTATTTTGCAACAACCAAACTTTTTTTTTCTTCTTCAGATACCAATATACATGAAAGTATTAACTGATGTATCTACATCATGACATGCTAATCATAAAATATTAAATGCAGACTTTAGTCCAGTAATTTGAAGTATCTGACAACTCCCTACTGACAAGCATCATTTGAGAACGTTAAAATTGAAAAAAATTAAGAGAAACATTCTATGATGGTAAATAGAGTTGCTTATACACCTAATTAGCCACTTAGAAAATGGTTAAAACTAGCACCATTATACAGGAATTCAATGTTGGAAGTAAGCAATATGCAAGAGGAATTTCCATTATGTAAGCTTTTGTAGTGGTGGCAAGAAGCACCTAATTTGTATGCTTGTGAGGATATTTATGTTTCATTATTTAATGGAAACTTTAAAAAATTACACATTAAACAAACTTAATTTTTCTATAAGGAGATCTGTCTGGATATTTTATTGGTACATAATCATAAAGAAAAAATAAAAAGCTGATTATTTTATTCCTCAATACAGGCTTAATCAAATCTGAAAATAATTACGAAGTTACTAACATACTAACATTCCTGAAATTGTATGCAAAGTTAATTTATCCTTTTCATTCACAATCCACTTACAAAACCATCCTTATCCTCGCATGTAAGCTCTCTCTTCCCAACAAATTAATAATATAACAGCGAGTACCTCAAAAGCTAAATGTGTATCATTAAAAATTATAAAATACTAAATAATACATTATCATTACACTTAAATGCATTTTATAACAATGTTTCATTCTCTCAGTTGGCATTGTCAAAGCTTGCTCTGTAAGAAATAAATTTTGTGAAGTTGTGAACTTTCACAAGAATACACCGAGTTGGAGTGAGATGCTTATTAGTCAAATTCGGTGCATCTGGAAGGCACTTTACCAAAATATTACAGTACCAAAAGCCAATCTACAATGTGTATTACCACCGTAAAAATGGTTTAATCATGTCCAGCAAATATATTTTTTCTTCTATGTGTAGTAACACAATTTTATCATTTTTCACTATTGAAATTCACAGTAAAACAGTCCACATGCATTATATAATTGATCAGCACACAAGAAATTTGCTTATATCAAACAATGACACTCAAGAATTTTTAATAAAATGCATAATTTTCTTAACTGGATTCAGAACAACAGGGATTATAAAGAAACAACGTATTTTAAGTTCAATGTTTCTTTATTGTAGTGTGAAAATCACTTTCAAATCAAGAAAATACCACACCAGGATATTTCTTGAAGCAGCTTTATAAAAAAGGCAAAGAGAAACCATGTACCTGCAGCTTGCTCTCACCACTCCGACCTTGGGCGGTGGAAAACAAAACAAGGCCAGGGAACAACACCTGAAGTCTGCTCCTGCCTCACAACTGAAATGAGTACACTATCATACAGAGGAATTACAAAAGGAAACTTTTAAAAATTCTAACACTGTCAATTGAAATGACTCCTGATATAAAATAGCCCCTAACCAATAAGTCAACAGAATTATACACAACAAGACCCTATAGTATGGACAGACTCCAGCTCCTTTGATACAACATATTTCACTTTATGAATTACTTTAGGATACTTAAAAAACAATTTGCCACCAAGCAAATGACAAAATAAGAGATTTTCTACAATATCACATCTGTAAAATATACTGACATGAGCCTCAGATTCTCTGGCTTGCCGCACTTACACTAAAGCAGGCATGATCAACTGTACACATTGCAAATTAAACATAAAATAGGAAATAAATAAATAGGAAATCGGAAAGGATCCCGTGATCTGCATTTTTAATTTACAAGTAAGCAACCAATTGACAAGTGCATACAACTTACACTCATTCACAACAATTGCATCTCTTCCGGAGATGAGATGCAGCGACATGATTACCCCCAGCTGCGGACCACATGGCCGAGCAGGTTAGGCTGCGCCTGGCCAGCACAGAAGCAGTGCCCGTTTTGGCTTGTGTCATGAGAAGCAAGTAGAGACATAACTGAAGGACTGAGTTGCCCGGAGAGGTCCGCAGGCCCGCTCCCTTCAGAAACACTCCTCTGTTGGTATGGCTGCCTTCCACAGTCCTGCCCTTTGCCCAATACGGCTACATGCGATTTCACTACAGGAGTCTGTGGGATTATCTGTACCAAAGCAAACAAGGTATCTTACACAGTCTGGACCTGCTGGAATTCAGGAAACATTGGGAAACTGTAGCTCTGGTTGACTTGGGCACAGTCTATGTGAACAGAGGCTGTGGGAAGAGGACATGTGAGAGGCAGCCAATAGAACACTTGGGCACATGGCCCCTGCACCCCAGCAGTGCATACAGAAAGCACCTGTCAATGTTATTATTTCCCATAATTTCATTTTTAACATTGTCTCCTTCACTTCCTTGATAAGTTCATTATATATATATTTATGAATATATAACATAGTGGCTTAAGTTGTGTTGTAGCAGAAAGGAACAGCACGGCACCAAGACAAGTCTCAGCCCATCTTCTGGTACCTGCCCCTCCATCCCCACTCCCTCGCTCACTCTTTTAAAAATCAGCCAAATAAAATCCAATACTTGCAAAATTTACTCGATAACTTTGAGAACTTTTCCTATAGCGATTGTTTTACCTGCAAAGAAAGCAAAACAATTAGAAATGTAGTAAGAAAAATAATTATTGTGATGTAAACCAATAAGTCAAAATTGTACCCTCATCGCGCAACGTGAAGCGACCCATTTGTGGAAACAGTTTAAACTGCTCCATGCAGATTACTCCAGCACACTCTACCCTCATTATGGCTACTTGATCTTGTTTCACAAAGCGTGGTCGTGTCTTAGATTTTTCACCCGTTTTCTTATCCACCAAGCAGATAAGAGCCTGAAAAACAGAACATTTAATGTGGTATGTTTTGGAATGCCATTGTGTTTTTCAAAAGAAGGTAAAAAATGAGAGAACAACTTAATCTATGTATACACAAATGTCTATCAAAAACTTATGTCAAACAATTTCTAATGTATAAGAACACGATAAGATAACAAATTCTACAATTTCAGATGACATGGTCTGATGAACATTTCTTTGAACTTATTCATTCTGTAAAAATGGACAATGGATACTGAAGTACTTTTATAATGAAAGAAAAAATATTGATATCTAACATTTCATGCAAACAAAGATTAAGATATTGTAAGTGTATTGTACGATGATTTAAAAAAATTAAAAATGCAATTCTTTATTTAAATTATTTATATATACCATGACCACAGGCAGAACTAAATACAAAACATGTCTTTTCATATCATACCTTAACTGTAACCTCTTCTGCAGCGCAATGAATATGCATAACAGCAGAATAGCCAGCACAGATTATACTCTTATGTTCAAGAATGACAACTTGTGCATCAAATATACGGCCTGTCTTGATGGGGTTGGCATTGTCACATAACACAAATCCTGGTGATACATCATCTTCTTCAATGCCTTTCAGTTTAATTTTCACATTTTCTCCTGGTCCAACCGCTGTAACTTCTTCATCGTCTGACAGCATCTGGTCGACTAATACTACTGTCTGTAAATATAAAAGAACAATCACTTCTTTTTCAAAATATAATTATAATAATTACAAATAATAATTATAGCTTTTTCTAACACAAGTGACAAATCTCTATCTATAATTCAGTTGCTTAATCAAATTTGCACGAAGTCAGAGAACCTACAACGAGATGGATGCCGTTTAGCATGTGATCATTCCGTGAATATTCTAAAACAATCTACCAACCAAGAGAGCATTTGCATATTCACAAAAATATAGGATACTGATACAATATGGTTTAATTAAAAGGAAAATTTGGTATTTTATATTGATATTATAAAATATATTATATTATATATGAATTTATATTGATAACATAAAATTTGATATTATTGTATGCAAATGCAACAACTACTGATGAGATTTGGGAGGAAATTTTAATTAATTCTAGGCTTATTTTTTCTGCAAGTAAAGTATGAAAGTTCAATTGCTTCAAAGTCAGACTTTGAAACAATCATTTTAATACAAAATGTCTGAATTAAATTTAATAATTTTAAGGATTAAGAATCTTCAATAATCATAACAACTGCCAACAAGTATGGCTAATGTAAAGATGAATTTCTTAAAAATTGCTCTAAATTTCTTCTTTTCATTTTTAGCTCAAATAGAGCAAATAGTACTTAATATTTCTCAATATTAGATCTTCAAATAATTAAATTTTGTTTTTAAAAACATGTGTATAGTGTTGAGGAATCTTCTGAATTAGGATGTTTTGATAAGATATCAAAACACACAATTTGGGATCACTTTTTAATCTCCTTAATGTATGAATTATCAAGTTATCCTCTACAATACTCAGTATAAAGACGTAAGTAGAAACAGTTTGGACTATACACAAATCAGCACAGGACAATACACAATTTCAGCCAGATAAAGCTGACTTTATTCCAATATCTCTAAGAATAATTGAAAAGATTTAAAATGTTTCTACCAATCTGTACCACCCTTTTCAATCAATTACTTAAAACAAATGTAATTGAATATTCACAATAAATGCTACGATTGAAAAATATTTCTATAAATGATTGTTGGAATAAGTGATGTTGGGCACTAAAGGAAAAACTCTGATATTCACTGTAATTGTTCACCGATTTACTCACCCTATTGGGCATCAACAGGAGCGACTGTCCTTTACGTGCTTCTCCAGCTTCTACTTTGCCCATCACCACCATCCCCATGTCCTTATACTTATCCACAACAGGCATAACAAATGGTCCTCCAAGCTTACGATTCAGTGAGGGCAATTTGTCAATAAATGGGATGAACGCATCACCTCTGCACATAACAGAAATAACAGTAATAAAATACACTGATGACAAATAAGCAAATGTTCCTGTGTATTTTTATTAATTATCAAATTGGGAGATACATTTACTTTAATTATTTAGAATGAAGCATCATGTCTTAAGTGATTTAAAATGAGAATATGATTTACTACAGTGATTGAAACAAAGAGTCATGCACCACCATGTACTCGTTCCTCACCAATTATAATGTGAAGAATGTAAAGTTGCAATTTGGTTTACAGAAAATAGTACTGGATCATTTTTGAAGATATTAGCAAATTTTACACAGCAAAAAACACAAAACTGATTGGGAAGATTCCAGTACACGTTAAATGCCTCGAACACAAATATGTAGGGACCAACAGCTATCACAACTACGGCACTCTTTTAGACGAAAAGGCACAACAGAAAGAAACCTTGACTTTAGTATTCCCATACATTTTATTTACTTTGTGAAAAATGTGGAGGTTTCAATCAATCAATTTGCACTTATTTTATTATATTTTCGCATTTATATTTTATTTTAAAAAACCCATTATCTTTCCTAGATAATCAAAGGAATTAACAACTTCGAAATTTCTAAAGATTAATCTGAAGCTTGTTTCACATTCCAATTTGCACAGAAATAGAAAGAAAACTGTGCGGCCTCCCACCATTTAACAGGCATTTGTGGTTTTGTTAGATATAAAAAAACTCAGGCAAAATTTAAAAACATCAATAATACTATTTTCATTTCAAACAGACTGAAAGAAAACCATGCAGCCTCCAGCCATGTGAGATGTGTCCATGTTTCGTTAGACATGCAAGAACATGGGAAAACTGCAAAAACATTGAAAGTTTTGATTTTGGAAATATTTGGTTGTGTTATGACTGAATCCTCATTGTATTGAGTGTGTCACAGCTTATATCATGGAAAAACTTTACAGAAGAGTCTGCTTGCCATTAAATTTTGTTATTCACCAGTTGCATTATGGAATGGGAACTTTTTTTGATATTTTCGGTATGTTCAGAAATTTTGTTCTGAATATACTCTCTACTATGTTATTGCAGTGTTCATGACAACTGTCTTTGTTAAAACATTTAATATAGTGCAGTGTTACTTGAGAGAATATTATTTGTTGCCCTTGAACTATGTGCACGCTACTTTTTGGAAAAACAGCAATGTGGTTTTGTTCAACAGCAATTTTGTAGGCGTGAACCCAAGAATGTACTACAAAGTTAAGAAAGAAAGTAAAATCCTACTAGAATATCCATTCAGTTTTATTACAATTTTTCCTGTAGTCCTATAAAAGCGTAAACCCACTAAGTAAATATACTGAGGTCCGAGTATATAAAGTTGTTGGCAGTTAGGTTTGGAGAGGAATATTACTGCATTCAAAATGCATTCAAACACTTAACAATATGCAATTAACAACATTATTAATACAACACACTGACCAAAATTCTTGCTTTCACAATGGATTTGTCACATTTAACCTCATCCCAAGAATTCTACTGCCTCTCGGCTTAAGAACTGCAACATTCAAGCCATGCAATTCAGTAGTTCTATAATTTGAAATGGAACTGTGCAAATGCTGAAGCTTCCAATTCACTGTTGATTGGCTAACTACTCTGGCATTACCAAGGACAAAATGTCAACCACAATCTAAATGTCCTTGTAGAGTGGAGTAAATATAAAATTTAACTTTCTAACAAACATCAGACTGAAGAGCTTTCTAACAATTTTTAAGATTGGATGAATCTCACAATCATGCTCCCAAAAATGGAGCAACTCCCTAGAATATGTTATTTTACTTAATAGATGTAAATCTAGTTTCAAGATTTTGAAGAAAACTTATTTCCTATTTGAAACTTTAGTAACAGAAGAAGTGTGTGTGTGTTTTTCTTCTTTTTTTATTTTTTATTATTTAAATATTAATTAGATGTTAACTTTTCTCATAAGAATGGCCCACTAATTGCTTCAGTGATATGATGTGTGCTCTAAACATCTGATACCTTCCTCGAGGACATAATGAAAAATCTGTATTTGTTAATGAAAATGGGAACTGTTCCAGCGCATCAGATTCCTGCTCTTAGCCAAAGAGAGTAAATCTTCAATTTTTTTATTGATTCTGTTAAAACTAATAAATCAAAAGATGACAAGAACCAATTAATTATAAATTTTAAAATTGGGAGCCAGAATTTGGAAAGTGAATGTTGAATGTTCTTGACAAAATAAAATACTGTTTATTGTAATCACTAAGGGGTGGATTTTGATATCCTAAAACATCACTAATAATTATCGATAAAATGCTTTTAAAATGTTTAAAATCAAAGAAAAATACAAAAAGACGTATAAAAATGGGTCATTTGTCATAACAAAATTTATGTGTACTAAAAAGCATTGTTCTAAAGTGAAAGGGAAAAAAGACATTTCATTGAAATCCACACATCACAGTACAGTAGCTACACATAGCTAGTACACTACAGTAGCAGTATACTACCCACTGCAGTGTATAAGCAAATCTGACAGTTCTCTCGCCATGTGTTGTGGTACTTCATGACCTGCTCTGAAGCAATCAGCTCGCGAGAATTTGTTTACTTCCTTAGAGCCAGGGTTCAGCGTTGTCACTCATCTGACTCACACAAAGTTGTGAAGTTGATAAGGTTCGGCTCTGATGAAAGTTATGAGCATGATATCAAGACTTGTCACAGCCTCTCAGTGTTAATGTTTTGAAATTTCATTTATCTATGATGTACCTACAGTGCCATGTGCCTACACATGTGTGGCAACAGCGCACTGAACTGTCTTGAGTCGCTTACGCACTGCTGCTACTGTAGTAATCACTGTTAATGTTATCATTCTTTTGATGTCCTGCCTGAAATAATCTTACAACATTAAGAAAATGATGTTTGCTGTGATAAGAATTAATTTTAGTTTCATTATTTTGAATCTCTTTCCAATTAGATATAGTTTTGACCCCCTTGAGAGTCAAGATTCACAAAAGACCAAAGAAATACTTTTCGTTGTTTACTTATAGAAATCTTGTGCACCCAACCAACTGAATACAACGGAAAACAAATTCCAGGAATGCATGTCTATGGATAAACACCACTACATCTGCTAGACAGACAGAAAACAACATAACATGTACAAAAATTCTCAATCTTCAACAATGGAGTAATCACTCAGGCTTTAGAAATATTACAACATTGAGTAAAGAACCTGTTATTTGATTTCCAGACATGTTATGAGTACAAGACTTAAACACGGAATCCTCACAGAAAACCAGAAGCAGATGCAAAACCACAATCAAAGACCTCTTTCCTTTTCACTTGATGATCAAAGAAATTACAATGTTTCATCAATTGTTATCATATAATCTATGACCTTAAGTTGATAATAAGCAGTTTCCATTTTATTAATAATGTTAATTTCATTTTACTATATGAAATATGTAGATACAATTTGGTCAAATTTCTTGAATTTTAAATTTTCTATAGCCCTCCACATTATTATGGACACTCACTTTAATCTCCTGTTCTTTTATCCCTTAATTCCTTCAGACATGCATCTAGAAGAGTGTAAACCTCTGATTTGCATACTAATGATTTACAAATACTCATAGCAACATCTAACGCACGGATTATAATTAAAATATTATTACAATGTTCAAAAAACCAATAAATATCACAAGGGAAAACATGAGCTAACTTAGTTGTTCCCAGATCGATAATATATTGTATATAATAATGGTAAACAATCATATAAATAAAAATTGTAATCACGTTAATTCCCTTCTCTGAAGGAGTTATACCAAGAATATCAGAATTCTTTAGAATGTTTCTCTTGGCATCAAAATGACCCATGCTTTCACTGAGATCAACAAATTTTAATTAATTATTTTGAGCCTACACACTCACCTGTACCATGGACAAATATTTTCGTCCAAAGGATCCTTGAGACCCAGCCCTGTGAGGCCAGAACATGGCATGAATGTTAAATCCTTCTGTGGATTGAATCCTAACTTTCGTAAATATGGCAATATCTTATCTTTGCATTCATTGTAACGAGCTTCTGACCATTCAACAGTAGGATCATCCATTTTATTTACTAACACTACCAAATGCTTAACTCCAGCTGTTTTGGCCAACATTGCATGTTCTCGCGTCTGTCCACCACGATCAAAGCCTGTTTCAAATTCTCCTTTGCGCGCTGAGATTACCTGTGAAAGAAAGACACTTGCTTCACTAACTCAAAAATATTTCTCTAAGTTCCAGGGTAATAATTCAAGAATAAAATTATACCAGAAAAAAATTCAGTAATATTTGCAAAACATTCCCACATAATTAAAATCACAAGCAAAAAAAATCACATTTTAATATCAACATTGGTATTTGACCTTTAGATTGAAATTCACCAACTCATTGCCCAGGTTTCACAACACCTACCAAAACAGCTAGATCAGCCTGAGCAGCTCCTCCAATCATATTAGGAACAAAGCTCTTATGTCCAGGTGCATCCAGGATGGTGAAATGCTTTCTTTCCGTTTCAAAATAGGCTCTACCTACTTCTACAGTCTTTCCTTTCTCACGTTCTGGAAGACAACAGTTATATATATGAGAGCACATATTTATCCAAAGATCTGTTAATTTTATGGTAAATTCACTTTAATCATGAATACCTGCATTGCACTTACAAGGACCAAACTTGGAAGAAGAAGAAGAAAAAAAAAACAAACCTAAATTTAAAATTTTGTACAACAAATATTGAGATGACTTATACCTTCTTGATTAGTATCCAAAGCCCATGAAAGATACCAAGTCTCCCGACTCTTTTCCTTGGCCTCGCGTTCGTATTTTTCCAGCGTGCGCTTATCCACCATGCCGGTTAAGTTCATAATTTGTCCTCCAATAGTTGACTTGCCAGCATCTACCAAAGGATACCACATATAATATACAGTAATAATCTGTAATAATCTTCAGGTATTTGTTGATAAGAATTCAAAATTATAATGTTATCACATAACAGTACAAACAATATAACAGTAAATCAAAATGTTTGGAAGGAGAAATTACAAGTTATTAACTTAACTACACTGTGTTTGATCTCCATGAAAAGACAAAAGTTATACAAGCAGTCCATTAATTGTAATGAAATTTATTTTTCCTGGATTCTAAAAGATTTCTAATAACCTTCTTCACACGCTTGGAAATTCAGCCCAACTCTGAACAACAACAACAAATTTTACATTTATTGTTTGCAAACTAGCAAGTAAATTAGCACTGAAAGTAAAAATTTAATTTAATCTGCTACTTGAAAGTGATGTCAATACAATATTTCCATATAAATAAAAGAATGAGTTCTGGCACTAGAGAATTGAAAAAATAAATCTAAATTCTTCATTGAAAATTTATTTGTTTGATCATAATAGAGAAGGCACTCTTTTCATAATCAACCTATTACAGTAAACCTTCCTTAACAAATTCCGAAGGACTGAAATAATTATTCTTGTAATAAAAATTCACGTTATCCAATGTTTTTATATGTATCCTTATTACTACCTTTCTTGGCAGGACCCATTGATTATAGGACAGATTTCGTGTTAGTGAGTTTGTGCTAATAAGGTTTTACTGAACAAGCATTTTCATGCATTGAGAATGTAAACAACTTACAATTATGAAACTACTGTGAAACTTTCTATTATGACCAAACAATTAAATTAACAGAGAGAATGAACTAGATTTATTCTTTCCACTCTTCACCACTAGTATTCATGTCTTTTAATCATGATCAAGGATGATCACTATTATTCTAAAAAGCCACTAAAAACAGATTTAAGTACAGAAACCGATACACACACAGAGAAACTTGATTGGGATGAGGGGGTTGTACAGGGAGAGGTCAAGGAAGGGGTGTTGAGGAGGAAACTGAGGTAGGGGAGATTGGAGAGAGTGCATGACTCCTGATTTATTTGCTGTAATATGTCATAAAACAATGCACAGAAATTAATAAAATTTGAACGGTCTGTGCTTGGGTTTTCAGTTACCTCTAAAAAACTGGCTTGCACTTACAAGCAACACTATAGGAACATCCCACAAAACTGTATATTTCACCCCTTCGCAAACGCAATTTCCGTAGCATTTTTAAGCCAAATTGACACTTTGCTAAGCATTTCCAAGTTGAGAACATGGCTTGGGGCTTCAGCCCTTGCAATCAACATAATACATGCTCACGTCTTGTAATGTATTTCATCAATGATATTTTTAGGTAAACTCACCTAATACATACATAGGACAGTAAATACAGATATCTTTCATTAGTTTCTGGAAGGCACACTAAGTCACTTTAAGACTCCAATTTCATTCATCCATCTTTTTAGTACATTTTAATAAATAAATCCCCCTTTAAAATTTCCATAATACTATACAATGAACAACATATGACTCAGAATATACAATACTACCTCTCAAAACCTAATTTCCTCTCATCCCTTTCACCATGGATTTTCCCTTTAATAGAGCAGTGCAAACTTCAGTTTAAACAACTTTTCAAATTGTACTGCATTCTCAACTTCAATCTAAACATGTTTATTTCACATTTTATGCGAAGACTGGCAATCAACATTAGTTCATCCGAACATTTAAGATTGTATCCTCTACAGTAAAAGATAAATGGACATGGACAATTTAACAAGGCTTGGTTCAAAGTTGTTAAGAAAACAAACTACCTTATATATTCACAAAATGTTACATTTCTTTAAACAATAATCTTTCTCAAAATACACTAAACTTCATTACAGTTTGTTAAAAAAAAATCTCATTCAGTTAATTCTCTATTCTGGACATTAACCCCAATGGTTTTACAAGGTTCTTTAAGAGAATCTAGTTCTTCATGGACTGAATACATACAATAAACCTACAAACTTCAAAATTGAAAGCAGAAAAACGATGAGTTACATTTTTATATATTTTATAGAATTAAATGAAGACGTCGACAAAATTTTATTACTGAATGCAATGCAGTAATAAGTAGAATTATACAATTCTGATTAACGCCTGCTCAGAGGTATGTATTCCTATACTTCTTTTTTATAATATATTTCAGAATTATTTATAGAAAATACTTTCAAGTACACATCAAAACTTCATGTGAAAAAAGTTTAGTCAAGCATGTTCTAACTTCCTTTACTTATTTTATTTTTAGCACTTGTACAGAAATTGAACTGTATTCCAAGCCAATAAGCGAGTCAAACATCCCCATTTTTATTTCAAAAGAACTCCAGTATACGTGTGAAAATATGTAACGGTATGCTACAAAGTACTTACCCACGTGACCAATGAAAACTACATTTACATGTTCTTTCTTGCTTTTGGTTTCTTCACTGGACTTGCTTACAGGCCTTTTCTTCGGTTTGCTGAGAGCTTCACCCAACCCTTCTTCATCCTCTTCCTCTTCTTCATCCTCCTCACCTCCCGCAGGCTCGTTATCAGGAGTAAGCAAGGGATCGTCCCCCTCTCCGTCGGCTTCTGCTGCCTCCTCCCAACTGTCTGCAGGAGGGGGCGGAGCTCCCTCCCCAGGCGGCTCCTCAGCCTCTAATTCTCGCACATCTATTTGCACATCAAAAATGCATTACTTACAAATGAAAAAAAAAATTGCTTCTGCAAATATTTCAATGGTTCACAAACAAGAAATACTCAAAGCAAGCAATTTTAACTGGTTGGCAATCAAAACATTTTAAACAATGAATACAGAGATAATATTCATACTATAAATGCTTGGTAAATCATCTTGTTAATTCTAAAAAGTGCCTTACAGAATAAAAAAACATCAATAAACGTTCTGAAATCAAAAACATTTTCCTGTTGATATAGTATCTTTAGGACTAATTGCTAAGCAAATAAAAAAAAAAAAATTAAAAAAAAAAACAGGTCAAAAAGAGGGATGGAATTTGTATTATAAAAATACTTTATTGTTAATATTCGTGAAATATATACCCTACCCTTTGTACATTTTAATAAATATAACAGAACAACATTCTATTTAAACAACTCAACATGGGTCAAAACACTACAACAGATATAATAAAGTTAAATGACCTTCCTGCGAAACACAGTTAAACAAGTCTTACTTAACTATCACATCATGAAACATCAATTAACACACAATGGTCAAGAAATCCAAATATTTAGGAAAGTTACAGCAAAAAAAAAGCACTTGGTCATCATTTATAGGAGGTAAAAAAAATTTAATTAGAGTTTGTAACCTCCTGAATTCCACCCTGCATGTCATGTAAATTTCTCAATTGAACAGTTGCCACCTTGTACTGCCTGTTTCTCACACAGAAGTGTTAAGTCATTTTTATACAAACATCACCAACTATCCCTCATAGTTATTCTATTACGTTACGAGTAATAAATTTGGGAACAAAACAGCTGTCAATGAATAGAGTAACCAATTGCTAATATAACCTACATTAAGCAACTATTTTTAAACCCAAGTAACATTTGCAAGCTGGTCTCAAATACTCTCAAGAAAATAAACTTAAAAACATGTCTCACCATTTTTAAGAGGAACCTGACCGTCTGTGGACTCGGGGGACTCCTTTTGCGGGAGATGTTCAGTCTGTCGGGGTAAGAATGAAGGCACAAATTCGGCTGCGTTCACGTTCAACGTGGAAATTTTTGACGACAGATCGGAGGTCTCGGTCGAATCACCAGCACCACAATCTGCTTGTTGTTCCCAGGAATCGGGAGCTCCGTTATTCGCCATCCTATAACTTAATTAATATTGTCCAAAAGTAGGTAACACGAAAAATAACTACTCAATTTCTTTCTCTCAAATATCCGCGTGTGTTCGTCTCCTACACCGGAAGATAATGGTAGAACAGACACGGCCTTTCTGTCTCGCAACCACTCCCAAATGGGTAATGGATGTCTTAATATTTTAAGTATTTAGCAGAAAAATCAGAAAATATTTTATTTAACAATATCGCAAATTCTCAGAATATCTTGTTAATCGTTTGAAATATGATATATGTATCACACTTGTTCATTTCCTATACACTAAATATCATTTCGAGGCACATCACCATGCAACATTCGAGTAGATAAATAAATTTAAACATTTTATCGTAGTTTCTCGTGACAAACGAACATGTTTTGTTTCCAATTAGATATACGATGATGGTAATTCGGTGTAAGCTGGACTTACGTAGTTTAAACAAATGACCTTTGAGAACTACCGCAATGCAAGAGTATGGCGGAAATTACAACATGGTTCCTTTAACTTGCGGTTGATATAACCTCAAATTTGATGTAATTTTCCGAAATTTCTTCACTTACCAACATCGACATACGAAGTGACGCGCCGTCACTTGAGAACTTTTTAATGTTACCGAAGCAAATTGCGTGAAATCTGAAGTAACTCTTAAAATACAAGTATTTTTTAAAATTTCTTTCGAATCATGTCATTCGGCTGCGTGAATAGATTGTCTAGGCGCTGCTTTGTAATTACACCTGTTCGACACTATTATAAAAATGTGCTGCAGCTCTATGAAAGAGGGCTATACCAAGACCTCTTTCCCTCAAATGCAAGGTATCATGATTATTGAAGAGTAATTGTCATAGAGTCAATGCCTACTGCTTACTAGTGGTCAATTAGTTGTTGATTGTGATGTTTTGTTTTATTTTCGTAATGCAGCAATGAAATAGCAGACCTCCTCAAGACACCTCAGTGTGTTTATGCAGGATTTGATCCAACTGCTGACAGCCTGCATGTTGGAAATTTGCTAATCTTGATGGGACTCCTTCACTGGCAAAGGGCAGGCCATCATGTAATTGCTTTGGTATGTTTTGTTCAAATTTGACTTGCAGAAAATCAAACTTCATAATAAGTTTTAGTTTCATTAATCTATTTATATAATGAGTCAAATGTTAGGTACAACATTGAGCCATCATATCTATTTCCAAAGTACTTTTTTCTAACTTAATAATAATTCTGTAAATTCAAAGAAGCAGGAAACAAATTAAATGTAGTTTTTTGTGAATTTTTTTACAATATGTCTATAGACATATGTTTAATAGAAACGTTTTATGTACCCTAGAATTAAGTAATATAAATATTCTATAAAAATAATTCTCAAACTACTTTACATAGGGCTATATTAAACTTTTGTTCCACTATTAGATTGAAAGTCAAAATGATTAACGTATATCCCATTATTCATAACAATAGTTAACTAAATGTTAATGATCTTTTATTCTAAATTTCCCTAAGTGTCATAGGCAAGGTTAAAGAATAACCTTTTAAATATAATGTTTTCAGCTCTTCAAAATGTGAAGTTCATTATAATTTCCAAATTCTGCATCAGTTTATAATGAACTGTTACAATTTACAAGATAAACCATACTAAGAGAAAATACTGTGTGTTCAATTGTAATGAGATAAACATTTGTTTCAAACTGGTGTATGTATTTAGGTGTAAAACTTCATTTTTTTCAAATCTGTTGAAAGTAAGGAAATGCTGCAAACCTAAATAAACTTCTTAATTAAATTAGGAAATGGAGCAGATAAATTGATTTTAAAGTAAAACATTCTCTCCATAATAATAATAATAATAATAATAATAATAATAATAATAATAATAATAATAATAATAATAATATCAGAATAGCGGATAAATGTGCACTAAATTCTCAGAGTAGTTTTTGTTCATCAACCAGATCAGAAAACCTGGTAGCAATGAGTTGAATTCAACCCAACTGTTCCACGTTGCTCATCGCAACTTTCTTTGGCCTTTGTATAAGACTGAAGTTGGAGAGATGGTTGGCAAAAAAATTTAAATTGTATGTCCATATAAAGAAAATATCTATTCTACTGAAGATGAGATTAACAAATAAATCAATGACAAGGAAAGGATTGTTGCAGCAATGGAAAATCGTAATGTTTCTGGCCATATGAAATGCAGTTTTGGGATGTCGAATTTCTGTCGATGTTTTAGCTTTAAAATAATTAGTTTTCGCACCTCATGCGCTACGATTTGAATTGAGTTTTTACAAGTGGTGGCTGAGATATATGAATAGGAAAGCAGGCATTAAAGTAGGCATTAAAATGGTAGAAAATAAGAAAGTATTAAAATAGGCTTTACTAATGCAAGAAAATAGTGCTATTGTAGCACCAGTAATGTAATTTTGAGCTAACCATTTTTCAAACTTCATGCCTTCGGCCATCATTCTCCGACATTTCAACATGCATTTCCAACTCTCTTCTCCTGTTGAAAAGGTTGTTGTGGCTGGTGTGTATTGTGTTACTACCCTAATCCCTTCATATAGTACGCTAATTTCAGTTTTCATTTGGAGGTGTGGTGAGAACACGTTAGAATTTGAACTATGTATGTGCTCTATTGTGAGCAGTATGATGAATAAATGATCTCTATATTTCATTGCCCCTACTGGCTTACCTTGTTACTGACTTAAGTCCTTCGTATAAAAAAATAAATTGATAAAGAATTCAAAATCTTCTCTTCTGCTTCATGGCAAGCCACTGAAAGCCTTTTGCATCTCAGAGGTAATCCTGTCATCTTCTTCTTGGGCGTCCTACATCCCGATATCCAAGGGGTTTGTAGGTGTATACTATTTTTGTTAATCTTGAGGTTTCCATTCTGTTGATATGATTCCCATTGACATTTGTATTTAATTTTTTCATTAAGGTTAATCATTATTAAGGTGGACATGATCTGCCAGAGTATGTCCTGCTACCCGTCTCAAGAAATACATTTCTGACGATTCAATTCTCCGTTTCTCTGATCCGTTCATTGGCCAATTATCACTATGATTTACCAAGACTGTTTATACTGTCATAGATTTATAAAATCTTAACATTATATCTCTTCTTACTTGTTTTTTAAAATCTTTTTTAATGGTTCCACAAATATGTTGGAATTTCTATAACTTTAGTTCTTGATCCGTGTCATTTAAGAAGGAAACATGACAGCCCAGATAATTGAATGTGTGGACTTGTTCACTGGTTTTGTCATCTAGAACAATGTTTGAACGAAGAGGGTGCTCTCCCTGGAGAGCCGCCACTTTCGATTTCGAGACGCATACCTCCAAATTGTAATTGTTTGCGTCGCAATGGAATGTCTCAAATGCGCATGCGCACCGCCAACTGAGCGAGGCCGGCCGCGCCCGCAGGTGGGCAGCGCGACGGCGGCCATCGGCGACCCCACCGGCCGCTCCACGTCGCGCCCCACGTTGGCGCCCGCCCTCCTGCAGGAGAACGCGGCGGGCCTGCGCGCCAACATCCAGCAGGTGTTCGACAACCACCGCAAGTACTTCTGGACCTCCAGCCGGCCGCTTGGGCGCTTCACGTGAGTTGGCGCCGCGCCCTTTTCGCCAGGGCATGAAAATATAATAATAATAATAATAATAATAATAATAATAATAATAATAATAATATGTATTTGGCTACAATTGGCTGATTGCCTGGTGGTAGCCATGACCCTACAGTTTTACAATATATGAACACTTATAATTCAAAAACAATTTACCAGATGAAAACAATTTACAATGCACTCCTTTCGAGCATGGCGAATGGACAAAAGTAAAGCGTTGCTGCAAGATGGGAAGCTCATTGGTTAACCTAATTACCAATTCAGAAAGACCGCGCCTTTTTTCAACCATAATTTTTATAAAATACGTGTTTCAGGTATACCGGTTTTTGAAATTTGATGCTTGCCCATAAACTGTGTATTTCGAATTTAAATCTAATTAAAACATTATGTACAAATTATAAAGTGTGCGAAGTGTCAAATTTTGTTAATTTATCTTCGTATGTACTGTGCTGTTGTATCGATTTAACGCAATGAAAGAGAAGAAACGAAAACTACTACTTGTAATGAGATATAGCGTACGAGTACACTGGTTTCAGGAAGTGCTGTTTGTTAATCTGATTTTTCTTGTCAGAAGATGGAATTCGTATTGAATAACATTATGAATAAGTTTCGTAACACTATATTTTAATTAGAAGAAATTGGCTCAACAAGGAATATTAATTCTTGGAATAAATGCTTCTCTTGACGCCATCTTCAGCAAATAATCGTTCGTGTCGTCTTAACGGACGGCGAACAGTTAAATTCTTAAGGAACGCTGGCCGATAACGGTGGTTTTTCTTTCTTCTCTTCGGTTGCGAAAAGGCGTTAATAATATTACAGTATTACGAAAAGTATTGAAACGGCTGATAACACTAACAGACATAAACGTCTGCTACCGGCAAGAACTTCAAAAGTCAAAGCCTGCAAACAGCAGCGTCTGTTTGTTGCAGTTAAGACCCATTCACGCAACGTAAACATAAACATAAGCATAACGCGTACACGTAAACATTAACATAAGTGAGACTCAAGTATTCACAATATATGACATAAACGTAAGAAATAATAAGAATATATCTTGGCTGTGAGACATTCTAGTTTACTATTGGTTGGATGAGAGAATCAATCGACCGTGTTCATGGCCCTTATGGCTTTAGTTAGTCTATCGACTTCGCTCATGTTTCGATTTCGAGTTACCGTTGTGTGATTGGTTCATTTCTTATGCCTTACTTAAGCATAAGCACAGAAGCTTGAAAGTTATCGTCTTACGTGTTATGCTTCTGCAATCGCATTGTGGACGTAGTTTCTAACTTTACTGTGAACGCCATGCGTATGTTTGTGTGTGCATTGTGAATGGGTGTATGTGGTTGGGCAGGCTGGTGGACAACGCGGAGTGGCTGGAGCGGGAGAGCGCGGCGGCGTTCGTGGCGGGCGCGGGCCGCCACATGCGCCTGGGCCAGCTCATGTCACGCGAGTCGGTGCGCGCGCGCCAGGCCTCCGACGCGGGCCTCAGCCTGGCCGAGCTGTGCTACCAGGCCTTCCAGGCCTACGACTGGCTGCACCTGTACCGCGCCCACGGCTGCCGCTTCCAGCTGGGCGGCGCCGACCAGATGGGCAACATCAACACCGGCCACGAGCTCATCAGTCGCGCCGAAGACGCCCGCGTCTACGGTGAGCGCCCGCGACCGATGTACCTTGTCTGTCTGTCTCGCCTCGCAGAATTAGAGCGCGTGTGGATGAGAAAGCCCCCAATAAATGGAATTACGTCTATTTTCGCAAGATATTAGTTGGCGTAGCTTCGAGTCCCTGACCGATTACGAGGAAAATTGAGGTATAAAGTTATTTTTACAAACTGTTTTTTAAGTGACTCGTGTGAACTTTTTATACAAGGTACATCCGAAACAATATTTTACCCAAGAGTAAAACCTTTTTTGTTTTGTTTATCTCGAATGTTCTTTCGTGTTTTGCTTCTGTTAATTTGACTAGTCATTTTAATTACACCAGCTAGTTTGAGATGTTATGAGCTTCCCTTGGTCTCAAGTAAGAGTTTAAAAAAAAAAAAAAAATCGTTATTCGGGATCTTCCTTGGTTACTAGTCGTCCATTTGTAGTTTATGGGCTGCTCTAGTGGAATTGATGGAGATAAACGATGAATTTACACCTCAATATATTATATTATCGGGAGTAATTCTATTCACGAAGAATTAGTGCAGGAATATAAATAGCCCCATTTATATCACTCGGTCGGTTTTTGGCTTAGCTTAGAAGCGCGCGTAGGTTAGAACTCGATCTCAAAACGTTTCCCCGTAAAAAATCAACTAAAAAAGTTATACTTCTCCCCCCCTCAAACATCAAATCCTACACTCCCCCACAAATGATGGCCTCCCGAGAAGCCGGCCCTGAGCGAGGGCGTGTGGGCGAGCGCAGGTCTGACGATGCCGCTGGTGACGACGGAGGAAGGCGACAAGCTGGGCAAGTCCGCGGGCAACGCGGTGTGGCTGAGCGCGGCGCGCACGTCGCCCTTCCAGCTGTACCAGTTCCTGCTGCGCACCCAGGACGCGGACGCGGGCCGGCTGCTGCGCCTGCTGACGCTGGAGGCCGAGGCCGAGGTGCGCGCGCTGCTGGACGCGCCGGCCGAGCGCCGCCTGCCGCAGCGCCGCCTGGCGCAGCGCGTCACCACCCTGGTGCACGGCGAGCGCGGCCTGGCCGAGGCGCGCGCCACCTCCGACGCGCTCTACGGCGGCAGCATCGAGGTACCGCTCCGCACCGTGCCGCGCGAAAATAATAATAATAATAATAATAATAATAATAATAATAATAATAATAATAATAATAATAATAAAAATTGAAAATGAAATTGTTAACGAAATCGATACAACGTTACCGCAATTTTAGAAATCGCTGTTTAGTTGTCTGATGTTTCATATAATTTTATATTATTTTTTTTACCTTAAATATTTAATTATAGGCATTACGTATAAAGTAGAATCCTGTGAAATGAATCAAATGAAGCGTACATTGAAATAGGTTCTACTCTTAACGATTTAAGATCACCATGGAAATTGCATTATTAATCTCTAAATACCAACAACTTAAAACTATTTAAAACGTATTTCCAAAAACCTTTCTAGATTAAACGTAATTTTTGTTATTTGTTGAAATAAAAGTACCCTGGTGCTCGGCGCGCGCCACTTCCGACGCGCTCTACGGCGTCAGCATCGAGGTACCGCGGCCCAAAAATCAGGGCCGTCGCTAGGCACGGGTAGACCGGGCCCCAAGGGACCCGATCATGGGACTGCTGAAGAAAAGAAAAAACTAAAAAAGAAATTCATAACGAAATCGATATAATCGTTACCGCAATTTTATAAATCCCGGTCAAGTTGTCTGATATTTCATAAAATGTTCTATTATTTTTTTTACTTCAAATATTTAAATATATGCATTACTTATAACGTAAAACTCTATGAAATGAATCAAATGACGCTAACATTGAAGGATACGTAAAAGTAATTATACTGCTGTCGATCCACACCCGAATCTACTATGTCCCTCCCTGTAGAGTGTTTGTTATACAAAAATAAGTTCGGAAAATTTTGTGAGGCGACCGGTTTTGTGAATAGGAGCAGAATTGATGTCCTCGCTCCACTGCTTAAGTATCGACTAAATATCGTATGCAAGCGGTGACACTGATTAAAATAGATAAATAACGTTTCGTGACGAGGGAGCGTTGGAGCGATACGGCTGATGTACACCGATGCCCACGCACGGCTCGACATGCTTCATCCCGGCCTTTTCCCTCGGAAATGATTAGAACCAGCGTAGAGAAAAGCGTCAAGAAGCGTATGTCGCACTTGAAATGATAGTGTGCGCCAATATTGACTCCTCTACTTTTATTTTAACCGAAAACAAATAGTTCAACTGAAAGGATTTGAATTATCCTTAGACGCCATCATTTGATTACTTTGGCATTAGTTGAATGTACTTTCCGGTGCATGCCAAGTTACCTAACAACCAGGGGCAAATGCTATATGTATAACCATGTACAGTGATTTTCGCAACTCTGCCCCTGGCAGGTATAAGCTGTTGAAGTTTTATCTAAACGGGAGCTTGGACGTCACTGCGGTGACGTTGGATTGGATGAAACCATCAACAACTGATAATTGCCGGGGGCAGAATTGCATAAATCGCAGTATAGTAGGCGTACAAGGGGGCTATGGTATAACGAAGGTATACGCAATTTTTCACTGCGTGTTCGTAGGCAAAATGTGATCATCTTCTACCTCTATATGCCCAAGAAATTTGTAATATTTATTCTGAGACAGTGCGTGCGTGCGTGCGTGCGTGCGTGCGCGCGTGTGTGTGTGTTGGGGGGGGGCGTTATTTGAATGTTATATGATTGATTATGATGTTAGCCACACGTGTTCAGTATTCGAATTCAGTTGTTTGGCCGTGCGCAGGCGCTGGCGCGGCTGAGCCCGGGCGACGCGGTGGCGGCGCTGCGCGGGGCGGCGCTGCGCCGCCTGCCGCTGCGCGCCGACGTGACGGCGCTGGAGCTGGCGCTGGCCGCGGGCTGCTTCGCCAGCGAGGAGGACGCGCGGCGCGTCATGGCCGCCGGCGGCTTCTACCTCAACCACCAGCGCGTGCGCGAGCCGGGCGAGGTGCTGACGCGCGCCGTGCACATCCTGCCCAACAACCTCAGCCTGGTGCGCGTCGGCAAGAAGAACTACTACGTGGTCGAGTGGCTGGCCTGAAGCCGCGCACGTGACCGTCCGTCAGGGGGGCTTGTGGAAAATGGAGGAATTCCTAAGGAATAGTTTGGCTTTGCGTAGCAATTTCACACCAATCGTGATTTTACTGACGTGTTGCTGTTGTACAGCATTTTACGTATAGGGAAAATTGGCATGATATTAATGTCAAGTCAGGTTTCCATTTGAATGGTCCCTTCTGCAGACCTCTACAAGCATTGAATGCAATTTTGGGATAGTACCGAATACAGATTCACTGTCTGAGCATATGAATGTAAGTCGTATTATCAACCTCATTTGAAAATTTTAAGGTAACACCAAGTGGAATTATCCATGAATTTGTTGGTTAATTTGGTCAGTTCGTAAGATTCAGTAGGGAAGAGGAGCACAGACAAATTTGTGAATTCCATTTTCATCCCTCGCAGGCACAGATCCACTGTGAGGGAAATTTTCGTTCCCAAATTTGTTCAGTAACTATGAATTTTAACTTATCACGAAACTTCAAAGCAAAAATATTTTCATGTAAACATTAAAACGAATAAAATTGTATCACAACATGAGCTGAGTTAAGCCTGTGACATTCTACATAATCTGTGTTATGACACATTGGACAATACATTTTGAATAAAAAAAATTTCCCCTGCCAAAATTCGTCTCTGGATCCACCCCTGCCCCTTTAGATATTTTCAAATAGGTAATTTGATCACTTACATCTTTTGTGTTCTAAATTTACTGTGATCAGAAGTGATCTATCGCCATTAACCATAATGTGATTTGTTTTGCAAGAGGATGATCAGTATTGGAAGTTGTTACAGTGCTCAACTGACAGGGGGTGAATATGTGTGTTTAGTTTTACTACCTCAATCATGTCAAACAAAGTAGCCAACTACTGAAACTGTTACCTTATTTTGGAAAATAATTTTATTTCCTTGTCAAGCATTTCTTAGTATTTTGATTAAATTGTAAATGTTTCATTAACAATCTATAGTGATGTTCAGTGCTTTGTTGTATTGCTTTGAAAAAGAAATTGTGTTCACAAGGTGCTAAATGACTGTAGTTTTCATTGTAATAGTTTGTAAATAAAATGTGTAAATTATCTCATAAAGCCTGTTGTTTTATTTTTTCAAATTTAAATGTATGTAGAATGGGATGAATCTCTTGTATTACTCTCAAGATATATTTGCTGAAATATCGTAACTCTCAGAATATATTGTAATTGCAGTAGCTGTAATGTTGCTATAGCAGTTCTTACTTTTATCATATTGTGTTGTGTTGGGAAGGCAGAATAGTAACAGTTCTGCAGCCAGATTCTCAATATCTCAATTGTGAGGTGTCCATAAGAACCATTGAAGTATGAGGATGATGATATATAGAATGAAGATGAGGTATCCTCCAAAATTGTTAAATCCACTTTGTTCCATGTAAATCAATTGGGATTTGAACCTTCAAACCTAGAGATGGAGAGCTAGTGGCATGCAGGCCACCACTGTACTTTAAGTCACCTGATAGTAGTAATCACCTAAAATTTTAAAAATGTCTAACAAAGAGAAATGCAAACTTTCTAATAACTTTACCAAAATTATAAAGAATTAAAAATAAAATGATTTTTCAAACCGAGCTCATCATGATAATGTCATCCTTCTCTAAAGAAGAAACAGTGCTGTGTAGTATAAAAAATATATTTTACAGTATAAGGAAAATTTGATTATTTTACATATACATACATTTTGACTGAAGTATTTGCAGAACAAACTCTCAACACATATGTACATAATTCTTACAGTGCGAGCTAGTAATTCTGTCCATTACTTCAGTATTTGACAGCACATTCTGATGGTAGGTCAGTGTCGATACCATGATTCCACTGGAACAGAAAAACAATAAGATGTTCAGTCAAGTTTTGTCGAGAATATTTCTTTGCAAATGTATTTGTTGTCTGAACAGTATGGAATATATTCTTGCTTGCTAAAGGAAATTTAGGAATATGTATTGTTATCAATAATAAAAATATTTTGCCATAAATATTCAATGAGTGATGCATTTTACTCCACATTTGAAAGCACATAGAATTTATTTACTTTGCCATTTTCAGTGAACTAACACTAGAAAACCAAAAATGATTCTAATAAGCCTTTCTATTTCACCTTGAATATTTTAAACATTCCGAAACTATTCCCTTGTCTAATTTCAAGAGTCAATTAAACTGATTCAAATTACCATTAATTTTATATTAATATTCATTTTTCAAGAACTGAACAAAAACTTCTTCTAGAGCTGTTAACATAGCTCAACAGCTTTGAGAAAACACCCGACAGCTGGGTTTCTCAAGAGGCAGTCATTGCGCAGCCCCAGCGGAGCCTTCCCTTCAAGAAACGCGCCGCGAAAACCATTGCGCTGACGTGTGAAGGGAATCGTCCGAGATGGTTACATTGTTCTTTTAATCCCGTAGATATCACCACTCTTGGGAACAATAGGATTGGGTCAAGCAAGACAGCCTTCTTTCCAGTTGACGAAAACCTTCTTCTCTGCTACTTTTCGTGCACGTGAAGTTCTGTGGGGTTTTCAAAGTTATCGAGTTACTTATACGTGTTTAATATTGTAATTGAACGTTTATAGTCAACCCTAACCGTATATTTTTACTTTTTCCATACTACTTGCGCAGTAGAGAGAAAGTTATATAAGGCTATTGAATAAAACGGCGATTTTCCACCAGAAAAATGTCAATGGTAAGTCTCTGATAACGAAAAAGATCATTCTTCTCACATTATATAGTAAATTTCTTCCCGTTGGGTAGTAAGAACCCACATTTTCTGGGTCCCTTCAAACTGAAAAGTTGGTTTACTACAAAACGCCTTCTGTCTGTCCGTTCATTTGTCTGTGTGAACAACGCTAGCGGCTAAACAGCGAGTAGGATTTTCACCAAAACTAATATTCCCCGATCAGTCTGGTAGATGTCCATGCCCCTTCAATGTGAAGCAAATATTTTAATTTTGGGAGAACTTAACAGAAGTCTTTACAGCATTTTGAATTTTTTCTCAAATAGGGCCCATTTTTTCTTCAAATAGAGCAAAGTACTCATAAAAATGGCGCAGGTCCGATTTTCGTTAAAATCTCTGAAGTTTCGAAAATTGCAAAAGCTTAAAATATTTTCGACGCTTGCCCTACATCTACAATACTGAAGATAGAGATTTTCTTGTGAATGAAATTTCATCACCAAAGTTAGTTTTTTAAATATGGTCATATGAATATTTTTTGGAAAAGTGTGGAGTTTTCGTGTAATTTAAGTTAAATTAAAACGAATTTAAAAACAAGATTTTCTAAAAAGAGCATTAAAATTTTTATTTAATTTTTCTCGGATATTGGGAAGTTCGCTTATAGAAATGGCCCAGGTCCGACTTTCGCTGAACTTTCTGAATTTTGGAAAATTGCAGAAGTTACAAATAATGCGAGAATTGTCCTATTGCATCGTTTATTGTTTCATCCTGTGCTGTTTAATGTTAATGGCTTTGTTGTTCTCTTATGACTCATTAGAGAAATGATAACTGTGGCATCTAAATGTTAGATTAGGGGCATTATAGTTATATCACAACAAAAATTCTCCAACTTTGGCAACAGCACCGATAACAGAACATAGGCTTCTTGGAATGTGCTGTACGTTTGTCTACATTCTTCTTACTCTGCGTCGGGAGTGAAAGTAGCCGAAACGGTATTTAGATCTAATGCGCTCCCGAACGCCAGTCATGCCAGGAGATTGACGTGTGAGCTCTTGACTAGTAAATCTTGAGACACGTCATAATAAATGCAGCAGTGCGTGTCACGTATATTCACCTTCCGTGCACGTGATTGTGGCTTTGATTTCCCGTGGGCACTCGCGTTATTGTTTTAGTGCATTGAGTGCTTAGAAGAAAGCTACAGGTGGAGTAGTGGACACAATTACTCAGAACACTACGGATTCTGTTGTAATCGTAACACTTTGAACGTGGGATACTTGTATTAATGATTGTTGTAATGCAATTGCAATTAATAATAACGAACATTTACATTGATGATCTCCATATATCAATACGGAAAGATTATATGAAGTTCCATCTTCACTTGACATTAACGCTGGTTACATTAAGCGACGAATATACTCGTAGAAAGCATTTCAGAGGGAGTAGGCAATTTCAATTCGGACTCTCCCTTTTAAAATATTGTTCAAGAAATATAAAAAAATTGGAAATTTTATTTTTCCGCTCGAAATATTCTACACCTCGATATTAGATCTTTAAATCATTTCACAGACCCTTTTTTCAAAATATTTGTTTTCATGCAATTTTGAGTTATTGGATATCGATTGTTTTTCGAGTGAGGGCTGAAATGTTAATTGGAGAGAACGTGCAATATTTAAAAAAATAGTGATTACTGCAGAAATATTGTATAAATCCATATTGTAGAAGAACAGAAGTTAACACTTGCAAATAGTTGTATATTTACAAATGTTATTTACATTAGAACATTAAAAACACCTTTCAAGGATTTTCCCTCATTATCAGTGTTCCCTAGCAGAAAATTAAAGGAATACATGAGTAAATAACGCTCTTCACCGACGATTTTGGTGCAAGCAATTTCCAATAATTCGTATGTATTGTCATCTGCTGATTCCAAAAATAATGTAGGAAATCTTTCATCTCCCACCATTTTTATAATATTAAAAAGCATTGTTTCCATGTTTGACTTTGTTTAGTATAATTCATAGGGAGCATCAATTGACATTTTAGTAAGTAAAATGATTCCTGCAAATATATAATGCATAATTGCTAGATATTTTTATCGCGCAATTACACAAAAGCCATGTGTGATGGGTAAGCTTTTTGTCAAAAATGAATTACTTAAGGGCGGGAATATATTTTCAGCAAACGCTGATATCTTTAACTACAACACTCGACGTAGTAATCATATTCATCAGGAGACAGTTTGACAGTTGACATTAAACGATTAAATTCGATACAAAAGTTTAACTCTCAAGTAAAATCTTTTCTGCTGCACAACTGATTCTATACAATTAGAGACTATACCGAGCATCTAGACGAAAAGTAGAATCTATTTTAGCAACGACATTTAGTGTATTAATTACCATTTGGATTGTATAATTCTAAAGAACATCTAACAAGTATTGTACTACAGCTTCCGGGTCAATGACCCCCAACTCGAACAGGTTTTCGTCCAGTTTCCCTGATCCTCGAGAAAATGCTGAGATGGCAGTTTTGCTTCTGGTTGTAAATGTAACTTGAATTTAACTTCTCCCCATAGCACGTCAGACACAGGTTTCAATTGCTTTTGACGTAAATAAATAAATAAATAAATTCTGTAAAGTGATGTGAAATCGGCGCAATATAGTCATTCTAGAAATTTGTCACAGTCCCAATATATTTAATAAAATATAATTGACTCTCTGTGCCTATTAACGTAATAGTTATGACTGAGTGTCAAATGTTTGTATTATTAAAACAATTTCCTTGTTATTGTAACTGTACTGTGCCTATGTCCAAGGTAAATCAAATATCGAATATGTCAAATAATGAAAAATCGCTCAGAACCTTGGTTTGTTGCGACTGTAATAAATACATTTAAAACAAAACACTTAATTTTTTTTGACCAGTGTAATACAAAAGGTGTGTTTTTTTTGTTTGTTTTTTTTTCCTTTTAGATCTTGTGTATTCATGTTTTCCTCAATTTTCTGGTTAGTAACACCGACGACGAGGAAAACCCATGAAACATGTTTGTAATGCTCTAATGTGAATAATATATGTAAATATAAGTTTTGTGAAAGATAACTTGTTTTCCTTCTCCAATGGTGTTGTAATAGCTATTGCGTTAGCGTTACCCACAACACATTTATGACATGGGATCCAAGTCCAGTACCTTGTATTATCCAGACCGATGCTCATCAGACTGATCTATGGAATCAAACAGTTCCTATTAACGATCGTATAGCGGTCAGCAATCTTATACTATAGTAAGGTGCAATTGGAATGAAGGATGAAGATGAACGCAAAGGAACAATTGATGCAATTGTTAACCCTAATTATAAATCTATAAGTCATTTCATTTCGTTCCTCTTCGCTCTTTATTCTAATTGTACAG